GTAGCCAGTCCTTCATAATAGTCTACACAATAGCTGCTCATCTCTCTCCTCCCAACTTTTTGTCTCCCTTCTATCCCTTCTGCTCCTTGCTCTGCCTCTTACTCTGCCTCTCCTTTATTGTCCTCCTTTTTTTCATGTTCCTCTTCCTTTTTACATTCACATTTGTGCTTCCACATTGTTGACCAATACTAAACAACTTCTTCAATAATTCCATGTATTCACATTCTTCTTCTTACTCTGTAGTGCAAGCAACAATTGACAAGTACATACAAGTATGCTTGTAATAATGACTATGTTGGATTACTCCTAAGGCACAATCCTCTCTCTAACCCTGTACATACTCTCCTTCCCCACCCACCATTCTATGCTTGACATCCTTGATAGACTCACACTGTGTGCCTTTATATTCCCTAGTACTGTCTATAACACCATTTTGAATAATGGAAGCAGTAGCTACTACTCACCCCTCCTGAGCTGAGTCTGTCCACACCTTATACATTACCTTCTCCCTTCAAGCCAGAACATTCTAGAGATACACCTTACAATCAATGACTCAGTTTACTACACCTCCTATTGGATACTGTAGATAGACAATAGAGTGTATGTGTACAGACATGATTTTGTCTACAGTCTGAATCAGCTTGTCCAACACTCCAGATCTCAATCTGTACAGACTACTCACACTTGCTACACACTATTACTGTGTGTCCATCTTTTCTTTCTTATTGTCACTTGCTAATCACTCTGAACCTGTCTTACAGACACAGTCTCACTCTTCACAATCTGCTTGACCTTACAACTCACACATGTATGCAATTCTACTTGTAGGGACTGAGTAACAATTAAGGCCTGGTGATGAAGACTATATTGAACAGCTTAAGAATGTATCAATCCTTTATTAACACAAACTCTACTTGCAAAAGAACAAGACAGAGGCTACTGGTGGTGCAGGGATTGGGATTGTAGAAATAATGTATTATTTACTATCTTTTTGTATTCTATAATCAAATATAATTATATTTTATTAATTATTTAATACAAATCTGTAAGCAAAGCCAAAACAAGCTAATCAAATGCTTGTAATGACTGGTATAAATTGTAAGAGGATACTATACTGTTAAATTTTGATAAGTATATTCTAACATTATTATTTCAGGAGGTATGTTATAATTACTTGCATATCTTGACAATATGTACAATCATAATTAATATCAGTAATTTTACTAACTATTCTGGATTCTTGCTTTACTTGTACTAAATTATAATTGACTTGTGAAAACCACTATCTAAGTTATTATCACTTTTACAAAATTTACAAAAAGTAAAAAATATACTAGGTTATAATCTAATACAACTGTTAAGACTTTTTCGTGATGATGTAGACTTTATAAGCAAATATAAGGATCCACAATATGTAAAAAATATATGTCTTAGCAGTAAATTCCAATACATTTTCGTGTTCGATTTGGTGATGTAATTTCTCTCGTGCAGTTTACTTTAAAAAAATCCTAGATCAATGCTTCACATCATCGATGTTGTTTGCTTGCTGCAATCTCATACTGCCCCTGACCAGACTGAAACATCATGCATAACAAAATGCATCCATGAGAGTCTTATCTTATCAACATTATATTTGCAAATGTGTAGCAACTTTACAACGATATCTGATTGTACCGAAATGAATAACATGCCTGAAAGAGTAGAAACTATCGGCAAATTATATATTCTGAAGCGGATGACTTGGTCACTTCCAACTGTCGTGGACTGCCGAATCGATACTCAGAAGTCCTTCAAGAAAAAGTAGCGTCTGGAGGGTTTGCGGAATACGCAGGGCAGAGGTTCTTCCATTCGTCTCGATGAAGCCTTAAGCCAGATCGTAACCAAACAATCAGATGAATCATACCTGAGAAATGTGTGACAGAATTGATGTTCTCGCGATCCTCAACGAAGACGACAGCCAGACCACTGCAAGTCGAATGAATCACAGTAATCAAATCATTCAACGATTCCATTACTTACGAAGCAAGATGCCAATCAATGTGGCAATGCAAGAACCATGGGCCGGCATTGTCAGTTACGAAGCGAATGGTGACATTGTTCTTATCATCGCCACCAGAATCACCCATACTAACCACATCTCGGCGTGGTGGATTTTTATAATTGTACTCCGTGCTACCTGCCACTCTGACGATATCGAAGCTGTGCCCATGCAGATGCATCTAAAAGGAGGGAGTGGTTGTCCAACTTCAGATAAGTAGATACAGCTTTCGTTCCAGTAAGGGACCTACTGGGTGCTGTAACGTAATTGTCAGGCAGGAACCCTCAAATCACGTATAATGTACATTTACTTACTGCAAAACTTCCAGGCATGGAAAGCTCAATTGTACTATTGCCTGGAAGCTCATACAGTGAATCCGCGGGGACAAGGTCTGTATTTCCATTTAAAATTTGTAGCAAAACAGGAGTTGCTGGATTTTCCCAGGCCTGGACGTTTTTGAAAAAAGAAATGAGTTTCGATGAAACACGTCTAGAGCGTGAAAAGAAAAAGAAAAAGACCTTTCCGTTAACGGAGTGCATTCCAGTAGTGATGTTCTGAAATAAACGTGGTCATCATCAGCATGTGGGGACACATCGGCATTGACAATAAACTCACGAGACTGATGTCAAGGTTGAGTGCTAGGTCCACCCCGCCTGGACGAGGTTCACCAGGCTGAAGGAAAGTTAGCATTCTCTAAAAAATGGAGTGAAAAGAGTTTTGTAACACTCACAGCTCCGGGGTTCACCAGCGGCTAGCAGAAATCAGTTGTCACAATTAGGTAACCAAGGCGGCAACAAACTTACAACAAGGTCTGCCTCGTTGAGTGGGTTGTCATCGGTGTCTTGCAACGTAGTCGGCTCCTCTTGGGCAGCACCTGAGTACCGCAGAACGGCGGAATTTATGCCATTCTCGAACCCAGTGATAGCACCCGACGCCGATGGTTCAGCACGAATCCCTGTGCTTCATAAGCGTTGAGCAGACTATTGGGCAAAGCACTCACAATAGTTCCCAATGGGCTGAGATGCGTTTACGACAACCGAATATCGCTGACCGGCATAGATAGTCAGAGCGTTGACAGTCTGAATGAATTGTACTATCTCAGGTCCATATTAACCAAGAACAGAATTGTCATACCACTGGTTCCGTTTCGATACCATCCGCTTCGATTACAGTCATGTTGTGGCCATCAATCTGAAATTTGAAGCTATTTGAGATGGAATCAGTAGCGCAGAAACGTATAGGAAAGATCAGAGCGTACGAAGGGGAACAGCTGACGCTGACGATACGGAATCGATACCTAAGGGGCTAAGTGTAAGTAGAAGAATAGCACGCAATTATACAGATCAAGCTGACCGTAAACCTTGCGTGACATTTACAACAGAGAGTGGTACGTTTGGACCATCCAAATAACGGCCGCGACCATTGATAAGTGTTGAATTGGGTGGTCTGCGCGCGAATTGGTTTCGAGTATCAACTCAATTGCTTCTTTCACTTACGGGTCTTTAAATCCCTATATGATATATCAAAGAGTGTTAGAAATGCCCTGTATAATTATTACGAACGACTATTTGCCTTGTTGGGAAAGAGTGAGTTGGACACGTTGTGGTACTAGAAATGGTGCGTAAGTGAAAAGGACGAAACATTACTCGTCACGTAACTCACCCAGTCGGCAAGTGTAATGACCGTCGTTTCTAAACTCGATTATTAATTTCTGGAAAACATTTGAAAGAGAGAATCAGCTACTTACCGTCATCAACATCATACAAGTTGGCATGAGGGTCCTCTGGGTCATAAATAACCAGTGGTCCACTACCGGTTGAGAAGGTAAAAAAATTACCATTCGACAGATGAGACATTTAAACCATTCTGGCGTGCTGCGAAACAAAGAACTGACCGTAGCCCGTCACAATATTGGGTTCCTTCATGCGAGTGATACCAATAGGCTAAAAGATAACATGAATTCATCGAAGTATCGGAGAAATGCGTAGTATAGTTTACTAACTTCCAGTCTGATTTGCAGCTGTGAAATTATAGCTTCATATGCTACCATAAGCTACGGTTCTTGACAGAAAGTTTCCAGTGACTTACAGGAACGAGTTGTTTGGAATAATAGGGCACTAATCCACGACACGTCGATAAGTATTCTAGTAATGAAGGCCTGTAATCTCAGCTGACCTGGGTCACCCAAGAGGCACCATCGTCCGCCGCATGACCTATTAACGGTAGAGTAAGAGCGAATCAATCACAAAGTGTAAATGGCTTTACCCACCTTTTTGATAAAGGCCATGCCAATGCTGCGCATTCGTCAGTAATGTGGAAGCGGTATAATTCAGCAAGCTTACAATGGAGACTCCGCGATACATCGTCGTGTCTGTAAGGTTGTCTGTAACATTGACAAGGAATGTGTCACTGGCATTGCCGGATATCAAAGGTCCTGGCAACGACCCATTGACAAGGATGGCCCTGACATGCGTAGGATATGCTCAATAAAACAGAGTCTATTCTTTTGTTTTATAATAAGGTGACTCACGGACGTGTGAGTCCGTCTGGAGACACGTTGTCGTTGACTATGTCGAGAGATCGAGTGACGGTAGCAGAGAATACTGGATGCGTCAGTGTGAGCAGCAACGACACCAGTGAAAGTTTTGCCATAGTGAATGCAGAGAAATGCGAACTATAGTTCCGTGAAAGACCTGTAGCCGTAGCTTTTCTAGAGAAAGTGGAGTTACTATCTGCTCCTTATATACAGAAATTCGGTACTGGAGTAAGGAAATTCTGCTGCAGTCTCGGAAAATGTCAGCAAGTAAAAGCTGGTTGACATACTGACGATGGCGGCCAGTAAGACATAATGAGAGTCGTAAACATGACCAGCTTTGAGACATGCATGTTGAATAACTACATCCCATTGACGAACTCGAGATATCGGAATATCATATTTGATGAATGATGATGCTTCTATCCTCTGATGCAAGCACGGAAGTCAGTTATACGGAGCTATGTTATGTGCGAAAACACATCGTGTCGCTTACCAAGTAGGATTTGAAGCGAGCTCCAATGAACACTGCATTGCGGGATGCTGTAGCGAAGCGTTCACATAGGACAGTCTTATTTGCTATCCCTTGTCTTATGGTATGAGCATTGAGCTATTGACGAAAATGCACCAAGGATGTAGCCTAGATTGCTACAGTATTCGTGGTAAGTAGTGTCCAAACCCATAGAATGTGTAGAAACATGAATCGTGACTGTATTCCTTAAGTTCCGACACCGCTCTAGCTCTTTACCTTATGGAAGATAAAGTATATACTTGTAAGACTTCTGTGCACCGAATTGCTCAAAGTGGACGTGGTTCCATGAGATCTCTTGAAGCAGTTCCAGTCTGGACAGGCGGGGGCGCATCATTCCACAATGACAGGAGGTCTTTATCAGTCCACATGCCTATCAACACCTCGTCAATCTCATCTTACACCGAGGTTTTGACTTAAATTCCAGGAGAGGACCTTGAAAGCTGTTCACATTGGCCGCTTTGAAGTGTCAATCCTGAGAAAGTATGCGACAGCTGTAGCTGACTTACTGCGATTCACAGATCTAATTCGACAAGCGTCGTAGCTTGAAGCAGAAATGGACCTGTCCTCAAGCAAAAATGAAGCGGGTGTACACAACCACAATATGGAAGTAGCAGTCGCCGATGATTGCGGAAGGGCAGAACGCCTAGTCGAAATGGACGTCCTTGATCATGTCTCCGAGCTGAGCCGAATCCGAAAATGTGTGTCATTTGACTGTCATCTTGACATCAGGACTTTTCAGAGCTTGCTTGGATGCATTCCGACCGCAAAAAGAAGTACGATTGTTAAGTAGTAGTGGTGATTTGCACTCTTTTTGCTGCATGAGCCAAATTTGGTCGGATTGTCGCTTTACATTATTCCCACGCTACACCAGCCGTCGAAAGGTGCATATAAAGTTACAAGTAAAATGTAAAGGATCTAACAGATACCATGCGATGATGATCGCTTTTCCACACTAAAAGCACGAGTCGAAGCTGCGCATTCAAAATAGCTCTACAAATGACTGTATCCGTACAAATTAAATATACCGGTAAATCCGTCCACTTTTCCGTCTGCCCCTACACTTTGAGCATCTTCCCTCGGAGAACGATGTATCTAATAGCTACCAAGTAGTAAAAGGATATTAATGTATTGAACGCTAAATTTGTCAAGGAAACACCATTGCCTCCCAACCCTCATTCTGCCCAGAATCGACGTTATTTGTAAGTTCAAATGCCTGCATGAACGAATCCCAAACTTCGATATTTCCGCCGTCTGCCTTTTGATACAATGCATTAAGGTTCGCCAATACTTGTGGATCCGGAGAAGGTCCTGTGAAATACGACTGTCCTATATTGGTAGGGTCGTACGTGTAATCGTAAGGAGGGAACATATCTTGTTCGGTAGTTTTGAATTGCGTTGAAGTGTTCGGAGTCCCAGTAAAGTATCCCTTGTTATGTTCTGCGTGAGAAGCGTCCATTGGTACCAACGGATGGGAAGGGAAGGCTTGTGTTCCAGAGAATGGGAATGACGTCGAAGGCTGCTGATTCCCTAACTGTGTGGAGTGCGCCTGATTAGCTTCAATATGGATCTGCTGATGTTGTCCTCCGAGTTGCATGGAAATATCTCCTCCAAGGCCTCCGCTGCCGCCAGTCCATACCTTCGTTCGTTCCACATCCCGATTCGAAGCCTCCACGAATGGAGGGAGGTAATTGTCGTACGGATCACATGGATCCTGAGTAAGCTCAGGAGAATCATAGGAGGTCGCAGGGGTTCCAGGTGTATGGCTGCTATATCCCGAAGAGCCTTGGACGAATGGACTTGGAGCCATCAAAGGGTCCAAGGCTGAGAACGTGGTCGAAAAGTCACTTCTGCGAGAATCGGAGGCTTGAGAACTACTTCCGCTCGTTGAGCTCTGTGGCATTTCCGGAGACTTGCACGATGACGAGTTCGATGAAGTAGAACCATAGTATGTTAGATAATTGTGACGGTGCGAGTCCTCAATAGCCCGCTCAGGTGGGATGCTCCGTTGTTCAACGTATCTAGTCGTGCCACGCAAGATGTTTAACTCCTCATCGTCACCCACGAGCTCACTAGACGTAGGTGGGAAGCGCGAGACCTTCAGCTCGCCGATATTTTGTTTATCACCATCAGAAGTTGTCGTCGACGCAGAACGAGAACGCGAATCGTGTGCATGGAACGCAGCATTGGCCTTGTCCCGCATCCGGTACAAGAGGTTCTAGAGGAAGCACGATATTACTGAAATTAGAGAAGGAACGATGATCAACTCAACATACCACGCCATTACGTGCGACGGGATGTCTACTCGACATCTCAAAGATTTTGATAACCTTTTCGAGCTCATTGAGAGCCGATGAGGCAAAATTAATCGTCGATGGCCTACATGCGACTGATCCGACAATCACCTAAACGTGCGTGAGCTAAATGATCTCAAATATACCACAGAGCAATACGGAGACCAAACAGGTCGTGCCGAGTGAAAAAAATTTGACATGACGTACGGCACAGCTTAATGATATAGACCAGAGCGACCACATGCGTTCTCTGTGAATACGTTAATGGTTGGGCGGGTGGGAAGCTGATTTTGAGAGACATACAAAATGAGAGAAAGACGATCAGATGCATCCCGAAGTATTTTCAACAGTACCGTTGCACTTCGATAAGTCGTTAAGAAGGAAGCGGAGAATGGACTCTTCATAGGGTTGCTCGGATAGTCAAGCATCGCACGGGCGAAACAACTGCGATGAATGTATAGTAAGGCTTCAAAGAATATCAGGCGTGCATTAACGGGTGATCAATAGTACTAAGCCACATACCCATCTCTTTCCACCAGAGAGTGATATACGGATGGAGGTTCCTGTATTCTCCTTCAGTAGCGAAAGCGTAGTTTGGCTTCGGTCGCTGATACACGAAAGGATGCACATCGAAAGCGCGGACCGCTCTGTCCATTTCCATAATGTCCGAATATTTTGGCGGTCGAGCAGCACATATCTTCTCTGTGAGGTAGGCTAAAACGTCGCGTGTGAAGCGATATCGCCACTGCCAAACTAACTAGATAGTTAGACAAAATAATTCGCATAAAGCCAGAAGCACAGCGGGCGTGTCTCTGAATACAGGCTCGAGAGGAAACTTAAACCCACCACTTTCAACAACGACACCGTCTTCTTCAACTGTTGCGCCACGATCTAGAGGATATTCGCAGTCAACCGCGTTGTTTGGGAAGTTCATCGGTCTTCCGGACCCTAAACTCTAACGTATACACTTTGATAAACACACATACGGAAAAGCGAGAAATATTTCCTACCCTCCATTTATCAACCGTATTAATCTCCCAAAAAGTTCGTCTGCGCCAGTTCACCGTCTTTACATTTAGTTTCCACCGAGAAGGATCACGATGAAGCCCGATCTAAGACGCTAGTCAGCTCAGTTTCTTCGTCCAAATCGGGAGCGCTTACGCTAGATGCAATAAGCATGCCTATAGCCATCAATTTCCAGGAGCTTTCCTGAGTCGTTTTGTGTCCTGAGTATATCTCATATGATCCCATCAAGAACACCGTTTGACAGGCAGCAAACGAGGCGTAATCAAGGAAAGATCGCATCCCCAGAGCTGCACGCGCGAGCTGGTGGTACTTCTCAGCCTCAGGGTTTGCTGCAGGTTGGGTGAGGTCTGCAACTGCTCCGCAGGCTAATACTATGAATAACAGCGCAAGTTCATGAATGTTTTCGTTATTGATTAGTTCCGGCGAAATAGGTCGATGTTCTGGATAAAAGTTGGGAACAACGGCCTCGACAACTTGAGCACGATCGATCGGCGCCTGGACAACTCATCAGTGTTTAACCCATCATGAAAAAAGCACAGTAGTAAAATAAGGGAACTAAAGAAGTACTATACAAGCAAAGGAGCCAGGACTGACTCACGATAAACCATGCCAAATTAGAGAAATAAGCTTCCGTCAACGATGTAACACGCTCATATGGAGGAAGGTGAGAAGCGAGCTGAGCGTAATGTTCGGAACGCGAAAGGTAGGCAGGCACAAACGGCCACATCCCGCTGGCTTGTACAAGCTCTTGCGGTAGACTCGATAAGTCAAAATTTGGATGAGTCGTCTCTCCTCCAAGGACTTGCTATACATGGAAAGGAATGCGTAAGGAGTCAGATAGCACAGCGTTACTACATACCATCAAGAGTACACCCTGTCTACTGATAAACATATGAACGTGTCAAGAGCTGAGATAACACATACTTCTGTAGCTGAAGCGCCCAGAAACCGCATTGTCTTATCTTCCCTGATTGAAAGGGTCCCAAATGCATCCGTCAGTTCTTCCTCAGCTTCGTCATCCTCGGCCTTCTGAGAGATCGGCTGGACGGCATCAACACCTTGCTTAATGGCAAGCAGCTCTGATGAGAGCAGCGGGTGAGATGCACCACCCTGAATTTGCAACGCGTCTTCAAGCACGCTAATTCTCTCGCTCATCGAGGTCAGCTTTCGGCCTACATCACTGCCAGTTGAGATCGACGTGGATGCAGCATTAATTGCGATTTGCCGGCCAGTGTTTCCGCCCGTGGTCGTTCCTGCAATGCCAGGTCAATTCATTTACCAAATAGTCACCGGACCGCGACACGCGTACCCGTCGGACAAATCTGCTTACAGCCCCGGCGTACGCACGAGGAGCATGGAACCTTCTTGTCACACTTTAGCTTTAATCTGCAAGCGGTAAGCCAAACGTGCACCAAAGTCATCACGATCGGACAAACCTGCGACACTCTGCACAAGAGATATCTCCGGACAATCTCTTCAATTCTAATTCTGTTTTATTCTGCATAAGCATATATCCATACGAGAAATGAGGGTAAATGAGTAATGCGGTAGACATACCGCGATCCCGGACTCGCCGTAACTCGAGACCGGTTGCATCGACGGGACCAGTGTCTTTCTGTGCAGGAGGCATCTACAGGGGGTGTGTTCGCTTCAGAATAGCTCAGCAGGCGACATGTATAGGAGAAAGTACAAAGGATATCAGTTGCGCAGCGTGTGCAGTGCACAGAGGGATTACTTGCCCGGCCTGCCGAGACACGCGTAATTTCGGGTATATTATTCCGGTACTAAATCCCTCTGACTAAGCACAACGGTTCCGACTGACGGTGACACCAAGTTTGGACTTTCAGGTACTGAGTTTGATGGCATTTATTTTAGAATGCTGGGCATATGTCATGCTCATTCGATCCAAATTGTCACAAGAAGGAAAGCAATCGCAGGGGTTCCAGCTACCTGAAGACATTGCTGGAATGCGACTTAAAGTCCTGGGATTGGCATATCAGCTAAAGTGGTGTGATTTCATTCTATTTAGGAGGGCGGCAATAGCAAGTGAGCTTCTTTGCTGCGCTATCAAATGCGCACCACCCGCTTCTCGCCTAAAGAACGGCCTAACTGCCAGCAGGGGCAGTTCCATGTCCGGTCATGCATGGGGCGGTGCACGTTCAATCCAGTGGTCAAAATCCGCCAGGCACGCAACATTGCAAAGACCAAATTTAATTGTATCATGATTTATCTGCTAAGAACCACCACTTTCTTTCGAATTGGCATCCAATAGCACTCGCTCTTGATATTCCCGCTCTAGTTCGTAGCCCCGGACACGCTTCCTAATCTCCACACGGCGAGACATGCCCACTTCGCGAGCTTCTCGTCGCGCTTGAGCGAGGTTCTGTGCGGCGGTCGTGTGTTTTCCGTCAGAAAGCATCGAAGATGTAAGGAACGGCACCACAGCCAGTCCGAGTGCCTGAATAAGTATATATTCATGGATGATAGCGTATAACATAAATGTCGTCGTGTAAGCGGCTCGTTAGCAATAACAAGGTCTAAAAACGCTCACAGCAATTCCGGCAAGAACAATTGCTTGATCTTGCCATCGATCATTCGCTGTTTCTTCCGCTTGTTCTGCAGCTTGCGTCCACTCTGCATGAGAATTATGCCTTCGTCGATGCGCATGTGCCATAGGGGGGGAAGAATGCATAGGAGAAGGGGAGTCTCTGCGGCGCACTTTCCCGGTCAACACGTCGTGTGCGGCTTGGATGGCCTGAAAGCGCGCATGAGAGATATGAGAAGGCAGATGGCGAGCGTGGGGTGTATCGGGATGATGTATTCGGACTAGCTGATAATCTGTTTAAGTCGTAGACTGAGTGTTTATTCGTTAAAAACAGTGTGATATGATTTTGACTTACACCGCGACTTTATTTCTTCTGGCAATGCTCCGGGCTTCAGATGAAATATCTCGTACGGATTTGGGTGTGGATGCCTCGGAAACGGATAATCGACAGAACTTGGCCCCGAATGTTCAACATTGCCCGTCGCACTCACAGTTGATGCGGGTCGAATAAAGAAGGGCTGCCTGAGATGAGTGTGCGGACTATGGATGTGTGGAATATGTCCGCCAAAGTAGAGTGCAATTTGTCTTGCTGGCATTGTTGCGCAATTCTTTGCAATAATCAAAACTAATTATGGCTGTAGAAAGGCTAGGAGTTCCCATCTGACCCTGGATGTTCAGTCATTTGGTCTCAGACCTCACTGAGAAGTCGTAGTGCTCGATAGAGTGACACTGACAGCAATGCCAATAGGAATTCCGAATTCTAATTGGCTTGATCAGCAGAAAACAATGCACGTGACGCGTTATTTCAAAATGGATGTCACTGACTCACCTGAGCCCACGTTTTCGTGTCTCCCTAGTCTTTTCAATTCAAGGTTGGGAAGCGGATTGAAGTGAGTCCCCCAGATGAACCAACAACATTCGAAATTTTTCGGAAAGACAATCACACCGGGCATTAGATTAGTCGGAATGTACTGTACATACTTAAAAATTGTACTAAACAAACATACTCTTGAAGTAAATAGATCGCTGAGAACATCTCCGATGCCTCGCATGAGCGCGCACATCGATTTCACAGCCAATACGGATGCCCGAATACTATGACCGTGCTTTACATAATTTTGATCATTGATGTTCTGTGTTAATCGTCGCCACGGTTGTCTCGGTCGTCCCACGGACCCCTTTTCATTCTGCCATGTCGACGCTCAACGCTACTTCGACCGAATCGCTTAGAATATTTTCAATTGATCGGGGAATAAAACAGGATGTGGTCTTCACAGGTGCTGTCATCGTTCTTTTCTCCGCTGCTGTCCAGTATCTTCAGGCGAAGAAGAAACACGTGAGTACTAGTGGTTACCTCCATGCTTCCTTCGATAGAATTGACATCCAACCAACTTGTGCTTCCTTCCATGACATCCTTAGGTTAATGTGCCTGCAATTGGTCCTTCGGGAACTCTGACATCCTACTTTGGAGCACTCAGATTAGTAAAACATGCAAGGGAAATGTTGGATGAGGGATATCGCAAGGTGTGTGAGACCACTGACTGCATATAAATATCATGATACTGTCGTGTCACTCATGTCATATACGTTGCAAAATAGTGCACAACGTTCAAAATTCCTATGTTTGATAGGTGGATGGTTGTGGTGAACACTCCCGAGCTCATAGAAGAGGTTCGGAGGGCACCAGATGATAAGTTGTCGTTTATGGAATCAACAGAAGAGGTACGTAGTTGCTTGGCGTCAGCAGCCCAATATGTTCATTTACTAATGACGATGCATACTTTCTTTTTATATTTATTTAGAGTCTTGCTGTGAAATATACTCTGGGTCCTTATGTCTCTGGAAATCATTATCATGTAGCTCTTGTGCGGTCACAGTTGACACGCAACTTGGGTGTTATGTATCATGACATTCAGGAAGAAGTTGCACAGGCCTTTGAGGATACTATTGCAACAGGCTCGAATGGTGCGGATGTAATGCTCAGACACAATTAACGCTATTCTGACTCGGAATTCTACTGCAAATATAGAATGGATTACGCTTCCTGCCTTAGATACAATCATGAAAGTAGTAGTCAGGGCGAGTAATCGTGTATTTGTTGGACTTCCATTATGTAAGTGGGCTTTACCAAGTGTCTTTTGGGCTTCGACTCAACGATACTTTAATTGGCATTAGGCAGGGAAAAAGAATACCTCGAGCTCAATATCCGCTTCACCTTGGATGTTATCAAAGGGTCGGCAATAATTAACATGTTCCCCAATTTCCTGAAGGGGTATGTAATCAAACTTCTATGAGTTTTGACTTTGTGAATTAGGTGCTTACTGAGGTCATTAGTCTCGTTGGAGAGTTCTTAACATCCGTTCCCGCCAGTACTCGCAAAGCAATGAAGCATTTGGGACCTGTTATTGAATATCGCTTGGCACAAGCTGACAAGTATGGAAAGGACTGGCCCGGCAAACCGGTATGCTCCCCATCCTTCAATCCTCCATCAAGAACTGCTTATACAACGATATTAATTCAAATACTGTTCATTCAGAATGACATGCTTACCTGGCTTCTTGAAGAGGCTCCAGAAAACGAGAGGCGAAACGTGAAAGCGCTGACGCAGCGCATTCTCACGCTGAATTTTGCTGCGGTGCATACCTCGTCGACTGTAAGTAGAACTTACTACACGGATTCTGTCATTTAACGGGGTTGTTGTGATACACAGAGCTTCACCCATGCTTTACTTCACGTTGCATCTAATCCGGAGGATATCAGACTGCTGCGCGAGGAGGTCGAACATGTGGTGAAAGAAGAGGGCTGGTCGAAGGATTCCCTTTCGAAAATGGCCAGAGTTGACAGCTACATCAAAGAAGCACTGCGGTACAGTGGTATCGGTTTATGTAAGTGCATCGTCGTCTATTGCAGTGTTATGCGGCATCTGCTGAACAATATGATTTATGTTCAGTATCGATGTCGCGGAAGGCCCTGGTCGATTATACCATGTCGGATGGGACGTTCTTACCAGCAGGCACATTCGTCACAGTCAATGCTGTCGCACAACACTACGACGAGAAGAACTATAAGAGCCCATCTGAGTTTGATGGTTTTAGATTCGTAGACGCTCTAGGGAAGAGTGAGAACGAAGAAACGACGGCTCGTGTGGTTTCAACAAGCACAGAGTTTTTGCCTTTTGGTCATGGCCGTCATGCTTGGTAATTGCTATTATTTTAACTGTCAACAACGGGTACTGATTCTTGTATGATCGATAGCCCCGGCCGGTTCTTTGCGGCAAACGAGCTCAAGACAATGTTAGCTCACCTTGTCTTGAACTACGATATGAAGCTCGAGGGAGATGGAACAGATCCCAAGCAAATCAACTTCATTACCGCATCTATACCGAATCCGAAAGCTCGGGTATTATTTAAGAAAAGGCAGACATAATGGTCGCTGTTGTCGTCATTTGTTTTCCCGTTGTTTCTTGGATTTTTTTTCTTGATAGCATCGTGGTTGTTGGACCGGATATGCATAAATGGTCCTATTTGATTTATGCCGATGATTAGGAGCAACTATTAGCCCTTGATAGAGCTTTTGCGGAAAACCTAGCCGAATATTCGACACCGTTTCGACAGACGCCATTTTAAACATTCCGCCTCTTTTTGCGTCGATACCATTGATAGCATTGCTTGCTGCGTGGTTAAGCAAGACAAACAGTACATTTGCTGGAGGTCCAAATAACTTTAATAAGAAAGCAAGGATTAGAAATTGGACCAACTTAGAAGCTTGATCTCAGATCTGAAACCGAGTTGAATAATTCCAAAACAAGGCACTTAGATTCCTTTTTAGTACAGTGATGCAAAAAACTGTTGACATGATTAGCTAATTTCAGCTAATTTGCTTGTAACTCCACAATCAATAATTATTAGAAAATATAAAAAATACTGTTAGAAAGCTATTCTTCACAGCTTTCTATCTGTATGTATTAGAAAGAAAAATATGTAAAATTGAGTGAGTTATGAAAGGATCTACATGTATATATCATGTTAACAGTTTTTTGCCTTTATATCAAGATTCAAAGATTTATCTATAACTCATACAAATCAGCATATTTCTTCTTGAGAAAAATCATGTATGTAACAATATAGTATATGTACAATATATCCAAGTTTTATTGTAAATGGCTCTTATTTAGTTGAGTTAAAAATGCTAAAGTGAAGTTGCCAATTTGGCTGAGAAACATACATTTTTACTACTATATTCTTAATAGAAATTCAACCAGTTCTTATACAGACATACAAATAAAGACATGTAGTGATCTATTATGTGTCCATATATTTTTCAAGTCTTGTGTCTGTACTATAACTGTAAAGGATATTAATGACTACTTAATGTATCTCTACTTGTTTTTTAGTTTAAATTAATACTTTCTTGGATAAAACAGATGTACAGTCTCTTACAGTTTGTTAACAACCTTAATACTTTGAATTTAAGTAGATATGTAATAAAAGAC